GCAAGTCGGCGACTGACCGCCGCGGGCACGCGGCCTGCACCTTCGCCCATTTCCAGACGCCGTACACCATGAGCCGCCGCTCAAAGTAGAGCTTTTCCGTCGGCGACCACTTGAGCGCGGCCGACGCGTCGGTCGGTTCGCCCTCGTCGTCGAGCAACGACTGCGACCCGCCGCGGTCGGAGCGGCGGTTCGCCGCGCCAGAACTGGATGCGGGTTCCGCCTGCTCGCGCAGCTGCTCGTAGGCGCGTGCGACCGCACGCCGCTGCCGCGGCTCCTCCATGATCAGTGCCTGCGTCCGCGCCGTCTCCTCGTCGGTGACCGTGAGCTGCGCGCGTTCAGCAAACTTATCCCAGAAGAGCGGGTCATTCACATCGATATCGGCATGGTCCTGGTCGGTCGCAAACGAGGCCTTCGAGAAAATCGACCCGGCATTCGCCGAATTATCGTGCTTAATCACCGTCGCGCGCCGTTCCAAAATCTGGTCAATGTCCTCGGAGCAGAACGCATTGGCCTCGGTATCGTCGAGAAACGCGCCGTAGGCACCCTTCTTGAGCAGTTCCTCGACCTCCTTTTTCGACAACTTGCGCTCGCCCGGGTCGTCGCCATACGCCGCCTGCGCGTCCATTTTCTGCAGCACGGCCTTGTCGAGCCCGAGCTTGAACCCGGCGCGGTCAAACATTTCCTTTTCGTACGTGTTGCGCGTGATAAGCCGGTAGATCTGAACGGGTTTTTTCTGGCCGATGCGGTGGCACCGCGCCTGCGCCTGCAAGTCGTTCTGCGGGTTCCAGTCTAGTCGAGATGACGGGGGGCGAGGGCGCGTGTCAGTTCCCGGTCATCCGTATCGCCGCATGATTCGTGCTAGTCCAACGTACCGCTGTCGAAAATAATCGCCGTGTCGGCGGCCGTTAAGTTGATCCCGACACCCCCCGCGCGCGTGCACAGCAAGAACACAAACGACTCGGACTCGGGTGCCGAGAACCGGTCGATCGCAGCCTGCCGCTCGGACCCGCGAATATTGCCGTCGATCCGCTCGAACCGGTACGACTGGCCGCGCAGGTAATCAGCGAGAATGTCGAGGCACTTGGTCATTTGCGAGAAGATCAGGACCTTGTGCCCTCCGGCCTGCAACTTGCGCAGCAACTTATCGAGCAAGACCAATTTCCCGGACGCCTGGACCATGCATTGGTACTGCTGTTCCGGCGTATGCGCATTCGCGTCGGTGAGAATCAAATCCTCAGCGCCGGCAAGCAGGTACGGGTGAATGCAGCACTTGCGCAGTTCCATGACGACGTTGATGAGCGAGGGGAGCGAGTCGCGGCCCTTAGCGCCCTTTTTCAGCATTGAAAAATTGCGCTCGAGGATCGCGCGGTACCACTTTTTCTGAATGTTGGTGAGCTCGACTTCGACCACCGTCTCCTCCTTGATCGGAATCGATTTCTCGACGTCTTCCTTGAGCCGCCGCAGCATGAGCGGTTGCAGCAGCTGCTGTAAGCGCTCCACGTCGGACGACGTCTTGAGCGATCCATACTGCGCCATGAACGACTTTTCCGAGGGAAACTTGTCGGGCTCGAGAAAGTGCAGCAGCGCCCAGAGCTCGTCGAGCGAGTTTTGCAGCGGCGTGCCAGTCTACGTACGCCGTTTGGGTCAGTTTCACGGCACCGAAACTCGAGCCACACGGAAAGGATAACGAGCGAACGTACCAAGAGGACGCGGTGGTCCATGGAGAACCCCTTGAGCAGCTCCGAAATCTTGGACGACTTGTTCTTCAGCTTATGCGCCTCGTCGAGCACGCACGCGCGCCACTGAATCGGCCTGAGCTGCGCAACACCCGCCATTGCCATTTCGTAGGTCGTGATAAGCACATCAAACTTGAACACATTCGGCACCAGCGCGCCGCGCGCGTCCTTCCAATAGTACTCCGTGTCGACAATCAAATTGCGCGACGCGGCGTTGCCGTGGTAGACGATCACGTTCATGTCGGTCCAGTGCTTGAACTCGCGCTCCCAGTGCGGGACCGTCGAGAGCGGCGCGACCACGAGGAACGGGCCGCGCACGCCAAACTCGCGCCAGAGCTGGTAGAGGAACGAGACGGACTGCACGGTCTTGCCGAGGCCCATTTCGTCGGCCATGATGCTCGATTGGTTGCGCAGCCAGCAGTGCAGCAGCCAGTTGACGCCTTCTAGCTGGTAGGCGCGCAATTGGTTGCCGTTCTTGAACGCCGGCGACGCCGGGTACTTGGTCCACTGGTCGACCGACGGTTTCGGCGGCGTCGGCGTGCGCTTGTAGTTTGGCACGTCGCGGCGCGCATGAAACTCGGCGACCGCGTCCGGGTTCAATTCGTCGCATGTATCTTTGGTCTCCCAGGTCGCCTGGTCGTACGACAGGTTCTCCCACTTGACGAGGTAGTAGACGTCGTCGGTACCGCGCGCGTCGCGCACTTCGCCCTCGTCGAGGATACGGTCAATGCGCAGGTAGGCCGGGTTGAACCCGTCGTCGCCCCAGGCCGCATGGTCGACGGCGTTCTGCTTGTCGAGGAACCGCTTGATCCGCTGCCCGCCGTTCACCTGCGCCTCGATCGTCGCCTGCGGCACCCACTCGCGGTGCAGGTACGACCAGTGCTTCCACTTGACGAGAAACTCGCGCGTGCCCGGGACGCTCGGGTCCGGACGGTGCGCGAGCAGCTTTTCCACGACTTTCGGCTCAAAGTGCGCAAACGGGATCACAACACTGTCGTACGGCACGCGCCACGACGTGCCTCCCGAACCCGATGAACTCCCGGTCGGTGTGCCCGCGCGCGACGAACCCGCACGCCGCCCACGCGCAGGTGACAAGTTCGTTCCACGGGGCTTGGTCTTGGCAATCGCGCTCGCGGCGGCGCGACGCCGCGGTGCGCTGCGGCTCGACCCGGCGTCTGACTCGTCCGACGAGTCGACGTCCACGTCCATATCGTCGTCGTCGTCGTCGGCCGACGACAGGTCCGACTCGGACGTGTTGCCGCCGTTGCGGCGGTACGCAGCGACGGGTGCGCTGCGCGCGCGCGACGGCGGGAGTGGCGGCGCCTTGGCCGCGACCGCACCGAGCGACGAATTATCCTCGTCGTCCTCGTCATCATCGTCTTCCTCTTCGTCGGTCGATGTCGCGTCGTCGCCCGAGTCGATGGCAATCCGTGGTGCGCGCTTGCGCCGGTGCGCGGCCATGGCCGCGGCCGAAGCGGGTACTTTACCGGCGACGGCAGGGACTTTGCCGGCGACCGCCGGAACTTTGCCCGCGACCGTGGCGCGCGCCGGCGGCGGTGGCGGCGGTGGGGTCCATGACGGCGACGGCGAGTCGCTCTGGCTGGCGAGGAACGGGTTGGCGGCAAAGTAAGGCCGCGCGCCTGGGCCGGGGGCGACATTGGGCGGGGCCGCCACGCCCGGTGACGGGTAGGCGGCGCTGCGGTACAAGGCGGCGGCGACGGCGGGCGGCGGGCCGCCGGGGTACGGGGGTCTTGATGGGTCGGACTGGCGGCAAGGGGCAAGGGGTCAGAAATCGGTCCAGTCGTGGCCGAGGCCGAACGGGCCAAGAAGGGCAGCGCGCGCACCATTCTGGTTCGTGTCGTTCTGTCGCTCGCGTGTCAAAATCAGACCGCTAGGATATAGACGACGCGCGAGAGAAAGCTGTTGGCAGGTCAGTTCATCGGTTCGTGGTGGGTCGCAGTCGGGTCGGTTGGTCGACCGGCAGCCCGCCGCCTGCCGGGCCTCGCTCACTCGTCCACCGGCACCGTTGCCGGCCGTGCTCGCTGGCTTCCGCCTTGTACCCATCGGCCAGCCCCGCTCTTGCTCAGCTTGTCCTCCCTTGCGAGTGGGTCCAAGACCGGTGGATGCCGGTCGGAAGACAGTGGCTCTTGGATGGGTTGCGCGCCAGCCCACCGGCCAGCCAGCCGAACGAACGGCCGCCAACACGCACTAGTGCCCACTCCCCGCCAACTTGCCCACCATCGTCGTGCTTGCCGGCCGGCTCCCAAACCGTCGACGAGAGCCGCTTGCAGCGCGTTGCGCACAGTCGCCGGTCTCGCACGCCCAGATCCATGGCCGGCAACCGGGCGGCCGACCGCCGTCGTCGCTGAAATCGAAGCGCTTGCCATACCGTTCGTAACTTGCCAGTCGTCGCCGTCGTCGTCGATGCCGAGTCGATGCAAGGGGTGAGAGCTCGCGCTCGCGAGAGGGAGGAGAGGAGAAAGGGCCTCGCGCACGCCGCGGTGGAGACGAAAGTGCGGTGGCGCGCGCGCTCGCCGTCGTGTCGTCCCTCTGTCTGTGCACGGTGGTGCCCGCGCGCGCTCTCTCGCGCCCGCTGGCCCGGCCCGCCGCGCTCAACACAACACTCAGCACTCTCTCGGGCCCGCGGCACACCAACGGCGTGCTCCCGCTCCCGTGAGCACACGCCGCGCACGCCCGCGCCCCGCCTCCCCGAAAGTCCGCGTCACCACTTCTCCGTCACGATCCTTTCTCCCCGAGCTCGTCATGCAACTCGCGAGCTCTAGCGCGAGCGCACGATGAACTTTGCCTTGGCGGCTCTGCCTCCACGCGCATAACATGCTGCACCTGGTTCTCCAACACCGATGCCCACCTCACGGCCTTCATGATGGCTGCGTCTTCGACGACCTGTACGGCACGCTCGCTCGGCGGCCCAGACTTGTTTTCGCCGCCAGCGCTTTGCTTATTGTCATACTCAAGGACAGCCCGCAGCATGAGCAGCGTTGCGCGGTGAGCGATTGCTGCAGATGCGCGCATCAAAAGAGTCGAGCCGCGCCAGCACGAATGTCTCTCCCCGCTTCCATCCAACGCAATGCCGTCGAATGAGTTCCTTTCCTTGCCGCACCAGTTCGTGCCGTTCCGCCTGGTCGTTCTTCTTGTCTGCCTGGCAGAGTGGAGGGGATGGGACAAGGGCAACTGAGGCACCAACCGGCGGTATATATATTTCCCTTTTTTCCACGTAATACAGCTCCTCTGGGAGTTTACGCTGTCAACCTGGTGTAGTTGGTTATCACATGCGCCTCACACGCGCAAGGTCGCCAGTTCGAACCTGGCGGTTGACAAGTTGTTGCGGTTCAAATGATCCACACCTAGTGTGGTCATCCGATTTTTTTCTGTCCCTGCGAAAGGTTCCCAAATGCTCATGTCCACGAGAGAGCGGCCCTACTTGCCAATTTTAGCACCCACCTCCTTTTCCACAGAGTCAATCCTGTTCGACTCTGGCCATTTAAAACGCATGCAACACATCGCAGAACGAGCAACAAGTGCCCTGCAGGCAGGAGTCTTGCCTTCCACCTTAGTTCGAACCTGGCCACTGGCAAGATGTCCTTTGTCATCACTCTCGAATACTGAGGGCAAGCAAAATATATGGAGGCTAATGATGGTCAGGAGGCGCCATTCTTTTGTTGGCTTTGAACGGCCGCTTTTGGATGGACTTATGTGCAAATGTGTAACTTAGAGTTGAAAGTAAAAGCACAACGCGGAAACCACCCACCGAGATTTTGCATCCACGAATCCTGCCTCCCCCTACCAACAACAGGCCAACATGGAACCTCGGCATCAGGTGGGCACGATTACGGCGATGGCCTCCTGGGTCGCTGGGCCACACTGGAGCTCCATGGACCATTGCGTGACGTTTAGCTCAAGTGTTGGTAACACGCGCAAGCAGCAGACACATGTATTTCCTCCCGAACCCCTCCAACTCCTACTTCTGAATCTGCTTCACCTTATTTGCGACCAACTCCTTGAAATCCGCCATGATTGCCGCCTCCTTCTTGGTCTTCTCCTCAGCATGCAACAACAATAACTTCCGCCGCTCTTCGGCCGAAATTACCTGGTTCTCCTTGCGCAGCCGCACCGCGTTCATCCTTTGGTGCCGCGAACCTGACATGACGTACCCGACCGTCTCGTACTGGTCGATTTCGTCGCCGGTCAGCCCAATCTCACCACGCCGCGGAATCCGCTTCCCGTCCTGCACGTAGGCCGCCATCGCCGACCCTTCGCCCGCAAGCAGCGCGTGGCCGTAACTGCGCGAATCAAGCGGTTTCGCATCGACCGTGGGGGGCGCCGGACCGACTTCCACGCCACCGTCGTCGTCTGAGGCCGACTCCTCTGGGTGCGGTACCGAGGAGGACGACGACGCGGGATGCGCGGTCGCGGTGGGTTTTTCGCGGTACTCCACCTCCTCACCATCACTCGACGAGCTCGACGAACTCGACACCGACCGCGTGCGCCGGCGGCGCTTACTGCGCCGGCGGTCGCGCCACTCACTGCGGCTCTCGACCGACGCGCTACGATCGCGCCGCGACCGTTTCCGACTCTTCTTATCCTTACTCTTGCTCTTACTCTTCTTCTTCTCCTTTTTCTTCCCCTTTTTCTTATCCGCCGCCACACCGCCAATGGCCTCGTCGCCGGACTCGGGATGAACCTCAGGCGAAGAAGGCCAGAACCGCGGCACCTCCGTCTCGCGGCGGAACCGCGCGCGCGCGTCGGCCAGCGACTCGCCCGGTCGAGGGCGGACGTCCGGCGGCGGGTGGCCGTACCCGCGGTCGTGGTGGAACGGCGCCTCGACCGGGTGGTGGTGGGACTGCAGGTCGCGCGGCGCGCGGTCGAACCCGCCGTAGGATCCTCTGCCGCGGCGCGGGCTTGATGACCGGCCGCGCATTGGCGGCGCACGGTCGAGTCGCGGCGGGGCGCGGTCGAGCGGGCGGTCGGGCAGCGGTGAGGCGCCGCGACGGTGGTGCCACTGGTCGTTGGCGGGCAGGGAGGGGGACTGGCGGCGGCGGCGGTCGCGCGGGGACGGGGAGCGGCGGTGGGCGCGTGGGGACGGGGAACGGCGGCGGGTGTCGCGGTCGCGGTCGCGTGGTGAGGGGGACCGACGGCGCGAACGTGGCGACGGCGACCGGCAACGCGAATCCCGGCTGTGGTCGCGCGGCGACGGAGAACGGCGACGCGAATCCCGGTCGCGGTCGCGCGGCGACACAGACCAACGCCGCGAGTCGTGATCACGGCGGCGCCGGCGGCGGCCAAACTCGTCGCGGTCGCTGTCGCTCTCGTCTTGGTATCGGCGCGAGCGCATCGCGGGTGCAGGCGACCTCGAACGGGAATGCTGGCGGGACCGCAGGCTCAGGGACCGGCGGCGTGTCGACGACGACATCGCGGTGCAGTTGCAAGGAACGGTGGGAACGGTGGCCGAGACAGGTACTCCGGAGTAGATGACAGCTCGAGCAGTTAAGTGCGGGCAGTTGCGAGTGCGGTTGACGTCGTGGTCACGGCAGACAGCGTCGTGCGCGCACGCCTTGCGGAAGACGACGAGCGGTGACGACGAGCGGTGACGACCGCGCCGTTCGCGGTGGAGGGCGAGGTCACGCCCTTGCCAGGCGCACATCACGCCCGACCACATCGATGTCTCCGAACACGCCCACACCACGGGCTGTTGCCGAGGATGGCAGCCGCCGCGCCCGCCAGCGCCAACAAGTGGCCCATGGGGACACATCGGGCGCCGGCGACGGCTCGGGGCTCGTTCGTGCTGGAGCACCGGCAGGATTCGTGCGCGCTGGAGCGAACGAAGCACGGTGCTGTCAACGGTTCCTTCCTCCGGTATCGGCCTTGGATCAAAATTGGGCGGTATATTGACAAACATCATGCTCATCAGCAACAGCATCAGTTGCGACAACGCGTCGGGCCGGCCACCCACTCCTCGTCCGACCGACCGACCCGCGCCAAAAAACGAACGACCAGCCAAAAAAAAAAAAAAAAAAAATAAAACTGATCCGACACCTTCCTTCATCGAGCCAAACGCGGCCTTCTTCACGGCCCCCACACCTGCGCCAACAGATTTGGCGTGCGCTCCGCACCGCGTGGGATCTTGACCACGTCCTTGACCGCACGCGCTTTCAACTCGCCGCGCAAGTCGGCCGTCGCCGTCTTGCCCGTCGTCGCCGCGTACAGGCCCAACAGGCCCGAGACGTGCGGTGCCGAAAACGACGTGCCGGACCGTGTCGTTGACGCATCGGGCGACCCGATAAACGCCGACGTGATGCCGGTGCCGGGCGCGAGAAGCTAAGGTGGGGTATGAGCAGAAGCGAGAAAACAAAGTGGAGAGTGGAGCGAAGACGTACGTCAAGACAGGGCCCCACGTCCGAGTAGTAGGCGAGCTCGTCGGTGATGTTGGTCGCGCCGACCGTGATCGACCCGCGCGCCGAGGCCGGGCTCACGAGGCACGCGTCAATGGCGAAATTACCTGGCCGAGTGTCGCGATGGTCAGCGGTTGAACGTGGTGGAGTCGATAGATGGTTAGTGGTCATGGCCGTCGCGTTCGTTTGAGAAAAATCAAAACATACCCGCCGCGGCCACGACCGTGAACCCGAGCGCGAGAATGCGCTCCACGGCCTCGTTCAACATGGAATTGAACAAGCCGCCTACCGACATGCTACGCCACCGACCGGCAAACAACGATGAGCGCAGAGGAGAGCAAGCACCCCCCCCCCCCCCCCGAATATGACAACGACGAAGAAAACATACTTGATGATGGCCGCGCCGCCGCCGGTGCCCTGCGCCGCGATCCAGTCAAGGCCGCGCAACACGTCAGAGATCGTGCCAGACCCGGCCGCGTTGAGTGCCTAGTCGAAGGGGCATAGACCCGGGGGTCAGTCTCGCCGATCTTGCCGGAGTGTCGTGGTGAACGAGGCCGCAATCGTACTTTGACGGCGACGAGTTGCGCGGCCTTGTAGACGCCGTAGGTCTTGCCGCCAATGATCGCCGAGACGAATGTGCCGTGGCTAATAAATACGAAGCGAGGAAAAGAGTGAGCAAAGCCATCAACCACCTGGGCGCCAGGAGGGGATGCTCAGATTCGACGTTAAACACACACCCATTGTCGTCTGTGTCGGACGTGTTCGCGACCGTGTTCACGCCCCACCGCGCGCGACCCTCGAATTCTAACGTCCATCGGAAGCGATCAGCACGCGAACCACCGCGCCAAGACTCCCCGAAAAGAAAGCGCACCGTTATGTTCGAGGTAGATGCCCGTATCCAAGACATAGTGCACGATCGACGCCGCCTTGGTCTCGGGCAGACACGGGTAGGCGTACTCATTGTTGAGCGGCAAATTCGGCTGGTCGATGCGGTCGAGCCCCTACGTCACGCGCCGCGTCAGTCTACGTGGAGCGCGACAAGAACCAGAAGAGTCTCAAAAAACGTACCCAGTTGACCGGATTCAACTCGGTCTGCACACACGCGCCAGGCGGCGGCGCCGCACCGACCCCAACTGGCGCGGCGATGGTCACGACCTTGTCTTCCTCGACGCGCACGGCGACCGCGCTCAACGCCGCCTGCAGTGACGCGGCCGAGTGCGCCAAGACCCCCACCGCCACGGCGGGCTCGACGACGGCCGCGCGCCACGCCGGTGGGATCGAAATGATCGACGACTGCGGGTGCGGCTGCAGCGCGAGTCCGAGCGGCGCGAGTCGCGCGAGAAAGTCGGCGACGGTCGTGTCGGGTTTCAGTGCAACGATCCAGCGCTGCGGCGGCGGCAACGAGTCGGGCGCGGCGGTGACGACGAGGACTGCTGCGAGGACGAGGAAGAGCAGGAGCGGTGCTGCCGCTACGGAAATGGTGGCCATGGTGGCGGGCTCGGCGGGACAGACACGGGCGTGGACGGGTCAGTGCAGGCGAGCGCGTGGGTGAGGACGCGTTTGGAGCTGTGGGGGTGCGAGTGCGGCGGCGAGGCTTTGCTGCTGGTGGCGCGCGTCGGTCGGTGCCGCGCGCAACGTTGGCCTGGTGGAGAGAGGCGAAGTCGCGCGCCCGGATTCTTGGCCGTCGCCGCCGGCGAGCAGGGCGGCCGGACGCCGTTTTGCGGTCGTGCTCATCGCACGCGACTGCGACATCGACGCGACTCACCGGCGACACGACCGGTGCCGGCGCACGCAGCGGCCGAGACATGAGCGGGGCTGGCAAGACATTGCGGCAGGTGGGGGCAAGCGCTTCCTCTTGGTCTTGTCTTGATTGATCGACTCTGGCGGGGCGGCAGCGTGCGGATCGAGCTAGTCGTCCGTGCGGCAGG